TTATTTTTTGTTAAAATTTTGTGGCAGTGGTGTCTTTTATATTTTTTAAAACAAAAAAAAACCGGCAAAAAAAAAAAAAAAAAAAAAAAAAAAAAAACAGGATAATGAATCCGCAACAAGATTTTACAAAAACATACCATTTCTAAAAGTTTACTGGAAAACAACCAAATTCCTCTAGGTGTGAACTGGGCAAATGACCTGGCATGAAGTACAGAAACTGAGGTTTGCCTTCTTTCAGCCCCTCTAATCTGAGTGTGCGTATTGCTCAGGTTTGAAGGGTTGAAAGAAGGCAAAGAAAAATATGCAATAGGAAATATAACAAATGACCAAAATCAGAGCAGCTGATTTGTTTTGATCAACTTACCAGATCCAGTGTGGTTTTCTCCAGGATGTCCACCATCTTTTCCAGCTTGGTGTTTGCAGTAAAGATGAAGTCGTCGTCCACCCAGAGCACATACTTGGTAGTCACTTGAGACACTGCCAGATTTCTTCCTGCAAACCAGCCCTGCAAAGAGAGACTGACTTACTTTGACTGAATCATTATACTTTTACTAGAACATAGGATCAAGCTAACTTTTTACCTTTCCAAATGGCATAAGGTATTGCTCAATATGAGGGCCGGTCACTGGTTGGGGGTGTTTGTTATCATCCGCTATAATTATGAGGACGGTGGGATAAAACTCCCTTATGCTGTCGATGAGATCTTTGAGTTTGTCGTAGCGCAAAAAGGTCTTGGTAGCGATGGTAACCAGAGAGGTAATGTTTTCCCCTGAGTGACAACAGAAACAAAGCAAATTATAAACATGACAGAAAATGCATTCTACTATGAAATTGTTTTTTAATGATTTTTAACAATATGTGCTCACAAACCTGTACTTTGTCCAGAGTTGTAAAGTTTCGGAACAACTCTGTGTCCAACCTTGATGGTGAAAAATGACTGGTGGCCTTTGGTCTTAAACTGAACTGCCGGATGAAGCAAAAGCTGATAAGTGAAAGTACATAAGAGGCAATGAGCTTATTAAAGAATAAAGGCACAACAAATTATTCTTACTCATATTTCCTGAGCATGATGGTCAAGAATTTAGAGTAAAGTGGTTCACATCTCAAAATCTTCTAACCGATCAGATTATCATCCTAGCTACGTAGAGGGAAACGTTTCCACATACACGTTTCCCTCTACATCAACAAACCCTCCAGGGTTTGGTATTGAGAAACATTCCCAGATCATGATGCTGCCACTGATGTTTACAGTGATGTACTCTCGGGTGTTCTCCTTTGTCACCAAATGTGACACTGTTAGCTGTAGCAGACAAGTGGCTGCTCAATTATGAAGTCAATTAAAATTCATGCAAACACTTATTTCACGCAATGTAATATAAAGATCTGTTTTAACTTTTATATCCGTCGGATTACACTGACAATTGTTTTACAAAATACGAACACATCTGAGGGGTGAAAACTATTTGTAGACATTTTAAAGATTGTTGCACTCGATTCCTTGAGACATCTCTTGAAAATGTGTTAATGTTGTTTAATGCTTAGGATTCTCAATTGGCTTGCATTCTCTCTATGCGTCTTTCTTTTCCACCTCCATGTCATTTACATTTGAAATAAACACAAAGCAATTTCTATTAAAGTTTCATATCAAATCAAATCAAATCTAATTTTATTTGTAGAGCACATTTCAGCAGCAAGGCATTTCAAAGTGCTTGATCAAGCCCTTGATATATATAGTGTGAGTGCAGAATCTTAGCGGAAGCTGCAATGCTGCGGTTGTGACAGTAAATGTGATGGACCTCGCCTTGGCACTCAGGCATCTCATTTCACATCTAAGTACCACACAGCCGGAAGTGACACAGTCTACAAAAAGAAAACCGAGTAAAAAAAAAAAACAGAAAAAAAAAAAAAAGCAGGAATGAGAATTCGTTTCTATTTGGCCCAAGAGAAAGAGGAAGTTCTCCTTTGATTTGGAATCAAAGGAGAACTTCCTCAAGTGTTTTAAAAATCACTCCTGCCACGGTGTCATAATGTTAAAATGTGAACTTTACCTAGGTCTGATGTCATCGGATGAAATATGGTGTTGGTATACGTGACAAACTGGAGCTGCCTGTTCAGAGCGGAGAGAGCCGGGCTCGACAGTGAAATGTGCTTTTCGCCCATTCCTTTAACAGAGACCCTGTCCACTGTGGCAGCAACGTCAAAGGTCCCCATTGTCGCCGTCAAATTTACCTGTTTTTAGACAAGATTTTTTTTAAATAAATATAAGCCACTTAAAACAATCTGTAAAACAATAATAAAAGTTACCGTATAGCTGTTTCTGCCTTCCAGCCTGAGACCCAGACCTGTGGAGAGAGTGGTGATGTGGATGGAACGCATTAATGGAGCAGAAGACGAAAATAAGTTCACTAGTAATTAAACTCATGATTGGACATTAAAGTGAACTGTTTATACCACAGTTTCTGACACTATCACATGTAATTAAGTAATATCACCTGGGATGATGATTGTTTTGAGGGGTTGCACCTTCACTCCCTGGGTAGGATACTGAAGAGGATTGTCAGCCTCGGCTATAACGAGCATATCTGCTGGAGAGTGGGACCTACATGCAAATAGGAAAAACAGGTTGTTCTGACTGGAGCTATTGAGTTGACCAGGCCAACCTCTTTTTTAAAGTGACACTGTTAGCCTGCTGATGCCTCCACACTGATAGCAGAAATACATTCACACAGAGCACAGAAAGTTTCAATTTACATGACTCAAGCATTTCCATCAAGTGCCAATGCAAAGAGGTACTATTAACTGATCAGATTAATTAAATAATGACATGCAATAAAGTTCCTTTACCTAAAATAATAAACTAAAGAACAATATTCTACTTTCTTCATTATTTGACCAATTAAAAACCTTGAATATCCTATTTTTTTTAGATAGCAACACAAAGTTTACTTTTGGTGTTGTAAAATAATAATAATAATAATAAAAAAAAGATAATTTAACAGTTGAATTACTCAAAAGTCAGATTTCTTTTTCAATGTCCTTGTGATGAAGTATTAATTGTTAATGATGCGCAGCCTGGTTTTTCATGCCGCTATGATTAAGAGCCATTTGTGTGAGCTTCATAGATCAGTGCTCAATCTGTGGTATTGGAGGAAAGGTTTAAAAAGTCCTGAAAAAACTAATAGCTTTCATTGTGAGAGCAGTTGGTTGCTGCAAAGCCAAGCAGTATACAGGAAGCTGCACTCTGAAAATCGACTTATTGATATCCTTTGAAATACTCTCACTTTCATTGGCGTGTGACTTTCTCTAAAAACAAGATGCAGCCTGTTTGCCTGTCAGACAAGGAATGTTGATCAACTGATCAAACCGTGAACATGTTTCCACATGTGGTGACGCATATCAGATAAATAAGTCTAAACTAGATCCCAAATTCTTCAGAGCACACACTGCGCATTGAGATGAGAGAAGGGTTTGGTCACAGTACTCTTATCTTTTATTTTTACCTTCTCAAAAACTGGTGGTACTCCTCTGCTCTCTGTCGCTTTACACTCTCAGGATCAGATTGCATTGCTAAGAACGCCTGCTGGAGGTTGTGAGCCCAAACACGAGGGAAGAGTAGATCGGAGAACGGTAAACGCAAGGTTTCCTCTCCGGCCTGGCACACACATGCGTTCTGAGGCAACTGGCTGTGGGAGACGTTGACGAAAATTAGTTGGTCAAGGATGAAAAGACAAATTTACAGTTAACGAAAAAAGGAATAACATTGACACCTTGCCACATTTTCTTTGATCTTGTAGGGAATGTCAGAATAATCAGCCATGATGCGTTGACTTTTCTCACTGAGCAGTTTTTGGATTCGACTGCTTTGTCTTTGTTGTATGTTGCCTTCTAAGGTGTCTGAAGAGCTCCAAAGGTAATTGAGGACAACCAGCAACACAGCAAGAAACAGACTCACTTTCAGGCCCCATCTGAAGTTAAAATGCATCTGGAGAAAAATGACAGGAATATTAAAATGACATGATAGAAACACATAAATGGAGATAGAGGACATTATATCGTTTTACAAAGCAGGATTGTAACTTTTCTCCCTATAAAGAGGAAGGTTCTCTCCTAGGGATGAGTTTTACCTGCTGGAAATCTGCTAATGACAGAAACTAGAAGATTTCACAATTGACTTGGCCTGCTAGTGATCTGACAGTTTGAAATCAAAAGTCTCATGTTTTCCTGATCAGTGAATGGACCACAAATAAGACTTTACCATAGCTGTTCAGTGTAAATATATTTGTAAAAAGCAGCAGTCGATGCAGATAAAGTTTGAACTCTGCTGTTGATCATCTTTTGGTGTTATTGTTTAGATATGTGCAAAACACGCTAAATGCATTTTTTGGCATTAAATTAAAATAGATAACTTCAAATGGCAATCTGTGGTCAAGTAGCAAAATATTTACTTTTTGAATAGCTTTCTTGTGTTACCTGGCTTATCAAATTTGATATAATGGATATAATGTGTCTTATTCTATAATGTTAACCTGCTTTAACCAGAAAATTTTAAGGACAGAGATGCTTTAATTCAAAATTAACTTGCTGGTATCACTCATTTTAAGTCTTATAATGAAGTGACATCAAATGAACTGCTAGTCTCTTGCAGCAGCAGCACAGGTTGCATGCTCTATAGTCTACACTTTTCCTGCAAGCAACACAACAAAGACCATCTATTCTCATCTATTCTATAATCTCAAACATCTATTCAGGCAAATTGGAATGTAAATAAATTAGACTGTATTTAATCACTAGCCCTTCTCAAATAGATATTCTTGTTCATAATGTTACTTTCTCATTGCATGTAGCATTAGGCAATGTGGGCTCCTTTGCCTCATACTTGTGTGCTGTAAAGGCAGAATGTGGTGACATGTGAAGTGTACAAATAACTTTGCATAACTCACAGAGTAGACTCTGACTACTCTGACTATGAAGTGAATAAGAAAACAGTGGAACATGTTCTGAAAGGGAAAGTCCAGGAGCTAAGCATAAAGTCGTAGATAGAAAGGTTGAATGAGGCATACTGGCAGCTATGGCCCTTCACTGAAAGATTCAGTCAGATTTATGAGGGTTTGTAGAATACTCTTCATGGGCATTACATTCAGTCCACAAGGATATTCATAAACTTTTGGTGAACATCATACATCCATTATTTATTCATTCATCCTGCAAATCAATTCATTTTTCACAAACTGTGCACAAACCTCAGTGTCGTAGTGTTCGAACGCTGTTTGCCTTTCAATAAAGACAAAGGTCGACCAGCAAATTAGATGCAAATAGTGGATGGCTAGACAGAGAGGGAGAGTGAAACTGAAACTCGTTGGATCAGTTTTACCCGTAAGGCTAATTGTTTCTAGCTGTGTAACTAGAAACAACCATTTAAGATTTTTTCTCTGACAAAACTCTAAAAGGTTCTGAGCCACCTAAGCACATAAAGTTTACGCTGTGAATCCGGGGAGGTGTCCGGGTTTCCTAGTGCAGCGGTTTCCAAACCTGTTCCTCCAGTAGCGCTGGAATGCTGCCCATTATGTTTTAGATGTGCCTCTGTTTCCGTATCACTGATTCAAATGACTGCAGATCTCCTCTGCAGCCTGGCAGCCACCAAATGCTGCAGAAGCCTCTTGATAAACTGTTCATTTAAGTCAGGTGTTTGGAAGCAAGAAGACACCTAAAACATGCAGCGCAGGGCTACTTGAAGGTGTGTGGTTTGGGAACCACCGGCTTAGGGTGACCATGTTTTGATCCCCCCCCCCAAAAAAAAAAAACAAAAAGAGGACACTTGACCCAGTCCTGAAACAGACTAGGGACGCACAATATCAACGTTGGTCATTTTCTAACAAAATTAGTATCAGTTTAATACAAAATACAAAAACAAAAACTGGAACAGTTATTTCTACCGTTGTATCATTTGTAAATGTGTTTCAAGAGGGGGATATGGTTGACCATATGGCACTTGTTTAGTCATGTGTAGAGACTGACCAATGCAGGTTTTTTAAAGCTGAGGCCGATACGAATCATTTTGACATTAGCCTAACCGATCTCTCATATGTGCTGCCTATTTTGTGTTGAGCCAATTCTTGCATGTAGCAAGAATGCTAATGTACAAAGCCTATATTGCTTTTTCTTCCTCCATTTACATGACAAAAATGACATAATGAAAACAAATGTTACACAAGCATCAACTTAAAGCTGGAGAGGCGAAAATTAGGGGTGCACCGATTGCAGTAATTGCACATTACCGATCTTTTAAAAAGCCTAACCTGCCGATTCTAATTTTGGCCAATACCATTCTTTTGTCTGAAAAATTATTGTTAACATGACTTGGTGGGCTGGTGTATTATTTTTTTCTACAACACAGATAAACATCTCTCATAGTAGAGCAAAGGACACTGATTGATTTTAAGAAATTTTGACATGGTTTATAAGATATAAAAATCGTCCAATCACCGATCTCCCATAACTAAGGAAATTGGCACAGATAAATCGGCTGGTCAATAAATCGGTGCCCCCATAGAGAAAATGGAAAGAGGAAATGTTAGGGTAGAAAATAAATCAACGTATGTTTTAAAAAAGTGAAATGTATACCCAAACAAACCATGATGTGATAATTGATCAGTTATGATGCTGGTCAAAAAATGTGAGTATCATGAAAAAGTTTATTTAAATCAGTAATTCCATTCAAAAAGTAAAACTTGTATATTATATTCATTCATTCATTCATTACGTACAGACTGACATATTTTAAATTTTCATTTCCTTTAGTGTTGTCAATTATAACTCGCAACTGATGAAAACTCCAAATTCAGTATCTCAGAAAATTTTAATATTGTGAAAATATTGAAGAACCCTGGTACCACTCCAATCAGCTAAGTAACCCAAAACACCTGCAAACGCTTTTAAATTGTCTCTCAGTCCAGTTCTGCGGGCTACACAATCATGGGGACGACTGCTGACCTGACAGTTGTCCAAGAGATGACCTTTGACACCTTACACAAGAGGGCAAGACACAAACGTCACTGCTAAAGAGGCTGTCTGTGCACAGAGCTCTGTGTGCAAACACATTCGATGAGAGGTGAAGGGGAGGAAAAGATGTGGTAGAAAAAACGTGGATTTGTAATAACCGCATCCTGGAGGGGATTGTGAAACAAAACCCATTTAAAAATGTGGGGAAAATTCGCAACGAGTGGACTGCAGCTGGAGTCAGTGCTTCGAGAACCACCACACACAGATGTGTGCAAGACAAGGGTTTCGCCTGTCGCTTTCCTTGCATCAAGCCACTCTTGAACACGAGATGGCATCAGAAGCGTCTCACCTGGGCTGAAGACACACAGGATTCGACTGCTGCCGAGTGGTCCAAAGTTATGTTCTCTGATGAAAGTAAATTTTGCATTTCCTTTGGAAATCGAGGTCCCAGCCTCTGCAGGAAGAGAGGAGAGGCAGAGAATCCATGTTGCTTGAGGAACAGTCAAGCTTCCGCAGTCAGTGATGGTTTGGGTCCCGTGTCATCTGCTGGTGTTGGTCCACTGTGTTTCCTGAGGTCCAAGGACAATGCAGCCACCTTCCAAGAAGTTTTACGGCACCTCATGCTTCCTACTGCTGACCAACTTTATGGAGACGCAGATTTACTTTTCCAACAGAACTTATGACCTGCACACAGTGCCAAAGCTCCAGTACCTGGTTTGAGGATCATGGTATCCCTGTTCTTAATTGGCCAGCAAACTCACCTGACCTTAATTCCAAGGAAAGGTCAGGTGAAGAGGAAGATGTGATACACCAGACCCAACAATTCAGAAGAGCTGAAAGTCAGTATCAGAGCAACCTGGGCTCTCGTAACACCTGAGCAATGAGATTGATCGGCTCCATATCACACCGCACTGCTGCAGTAATCTGGGCAAAAGGAGCCCCGAGTAAGTACTGAGTGCTGTACATGCTCGTACTTCTCATGTTCATACTTTTCAGTTGGCCAACATTTCTAAAAATCATTTTTTCGCATTGGTCTTAAGTAATATTATAATTATCTGAGATAATGAATTTGGGGTTTTCATTAGTTGTCAATAATAATGGTCAACATTAAAAGAAAAAAAAAACATTTGAAATGTATCAGTCTGTGTGTAACAAATTAATATTATACAAGTTTCACTTTTTGAATGGAATTACTGATTTAAATAAACATTTTCATGATGTTCAAATCTTTTGACCAGCACCTGTAAAACTAAAAAGTTCAGCATAGTAAAAATACCCCTAAGAGTACATTTGTTTTTCAAAAAGTATATGCAATCGAGTAAATGTAACTAGTCACATTTACTCGAAGCTTGTATTCTTTGGACCACTCGGCAGCAGTCGAAGTTTCTGCCCTCCTCAGGGGAACAGAAGGACATGGTGAACGGTGAGGAGAACCGTCTGCATTGTGAGCGGCACCAGAACTCCTGGACGGATCTCCTTCAGGAAGAAGCAGCCATCAGCAGAGAGACGGCCGACCTCCACAGAAAAGAGTTGAGCCAAAGATAGCAGCCTTTTTATTTTCTTAAACCCACCACACACAGATGGTATCGCTTTCCTGGCGTTGTGGCCAGGGCCGTGCAGAGACCACTAAAAGGGGCAGGTGCTGAAGCCCCTCTAGCCCCCCTCTCTGCACGTGCCTGGTTGTGGCCATGCTAAAAACCTCTGCACACTCAACTTTTATTGAAACACAGACAGCTTTTCAATAATATTCCGGTGTATTGAATATGACAATCAGTTTGTGCTGTCTGTTAAACAGAACATCCAGAAATGTGATGAACTTCAGAGTGAAAATAACACAATGAGATGAAAACATTTGTCTATATTGTACTGCTATAAAGACATTAACGCTGCCCTGCACATTTTAAAGTGTCTGTTCCAAAACAGCTGATACAAATGATAGCATTAGCTCACCCATCCCATCCAGAAACCTGTCAGTGTCTTTGTGAGACTGTTTTTTTTTTTTTTTTTTTTTTTTTTGCCCTTTGAATAATGTTTCTTTTTTTTTTTTTTTTTTTTTTTTTAAA